ACGACTGAGCCACCCAGGCACCCCTAATTATGACCATTTTAAAGGCTAAGAAAATGAAAGCTCATAAATGACTGAACCAAAAATAACATTTCCTTTGTCTTAATTCCAAAACCTTTGTTTTATTTTATTTTTATTTTTTTAAAGATTTTATTTATTTGACACAGAGAGAGACACAGCGAGAGAGGGAACACGAGCAGGGGGAGTGGGAGAGGGAGAAGCAGGCCTCCCGCAGAGCAGGGAGCCCGATGTGGGGCTCGATCCCAGGACCCTGGGATCATGACCTGAGCCGAAGGCAGACGCTTAACGACTGAGCCACCCAGGCGCCCCCCAAATTTCTTTATAAAGTATAAACTTTGTATCTATTTGTAACACATAACTATTTGTAACAGATTTAACATGGTTTGGACAGTTTTTAAAGATACCTGGATTTTAATGGTCCAGTTTTCATGGGTTTGTAACATTTTTCTTTTTTTTTTTTTAAGTGTGTTTATAACATTTCAAGGAACAGCCAATTTCTCTCAGCAAACATACTACTCTTGGATATAAATAATTATTTTTAATAAATCCTCTTCCCCAGCTCCCTATTCTTTCCTGCCATTTGGCAAAGTGGCCATTCAGCCAACCAGCCTATCAGCTTAAAGGAGCAGATCCATCTTGACAGGTCCAGGGCCTCCCCACCTGACTCAGAACCAAGTATTCCAAGAAGTTCATGGTGGAATCAGCAATTCTGACTCTGCCCACAGCAAATCAACTGAGGACGGGATTCGCTCACCCCACCTTTTATACAAAACTCAATCCCCCACAAGTCACCATAAGTGACAGCTCAGTCTACCTTTAGGTCGGTGTCTCGGGCTCTCTGGTTCATTCCTTCTACTGCGCTCTGACCCTCCATCTCGCTCGGATCTGCTGCTGTGTCTGCTTCTATCCCGCTCATCTGTCAAGAGCCACACACAGAGCTTAGGATATATGTGTCCCATCCTAACTTCCACCCGTCTTCACCCTAGAGAAAGGACAGGCCTCCCCCACTCACTCACAGGTGCAACCTGCACTGCTCTAATGCGATCCATGGGCTCCTGAAACTCACACATCCCCATTCTTTCAAGGGGAAAAAATAGTTACTGGCTAGAAAGTTTCAAACTCACAGTAACAGTTATTTTCCTGCAAGAATTCAAAAAACAATAGTTATAAGTCTACAGTGAATAGCTGTTTAATAGTTACAAGTCTAAAAACTATAAAACTTACAACCACACTGAGCAAAGCCAGCGTTGGATTTTATGTCTAGCTTTGCTCCCCAGCACTGTCCTTTCTCTTTCACCAAAACTGCTGTAAATTCTGGTTTCTTACACAAATTACCCGTTATCACCTTTACCACCAATTGTAATAAAATGAGGACCACACACTCAAGCAAAGCAGCTTTGTTGCAAGTAACAGTTCTTAAGCTGCCTGCTATTCCCAATCCTGACACAATCAAAACCAACAGGGCTCCCTAATTATTGTGCATTAGAAAAACTCCTGCAATAGGAAAGAGGCTGACGTGTTAATTCAAATGTTCAACCGGCTATAGGAACTACTCCGACCGGTTACCTCTGTCTCTCTTGCGGTCACAGTCTCGATCCCTTGATCTCTCTTTCTTCCGATCCTTTTCTTCTTTGGACGAGGCATAGACACCATGTTCCCGCCGCTCCCGCTCTCTCTGCCGACTGCGTTCCCAGAACTCTTCACTCACACCACCAGGATGGGATGGAGTCTCTACCCGAGCAGATCGATAATGTCTGAAACAGGGAGGGCAACTAGTAAAAGGCCCTTTCAATAGGGGAAAACCCTTGCCCCCAGACCTCTGGCTGGCTGACCTGTCCTTCTGCACTTTATCTCCCCACAGGCTTACTTATGGCAACAACCCAAAACACTTCTAACCCCGACCCTCTCTTTAGTCGCCTTTGACTGTTCCCCACAGATTTGAAGAAAACACCAATTACTATCTACCTTAGATATTACAGAATCATAATAAAATCACAAAGGTCTACATATGCAACAAGAAAACAGAAATAAACATGAGATGTTATTTTCTGGCCGCCGTTCTCGTTCCCTTTGCGTCAACCCATCCTAAAGCCTTTACCTGTCTTTTCGGCTATGCCGGCCCGCTTGGTCACTGCCCTCCTCCTCAGCGTCCCTCTGGTCGTCCTTGCTCTCCTCCCAGTCCTTGTAGGAAGAGATTCTGGACTTCTTCTTGTCCTCCCCATCGTCCTTCTCCTCTCGTTCCCTTCGTTTCAGGGAAGCTAACAAGTCCAGTCCCAGCAAGGAAGGGCGGGGGGCAGGGGCCTTGAAGACATGCTGCTCACTGGCTGCACTTTTGGTCTTGCAAATAAGACCGCCAACCTGAGAATCCAGATCAGTGCCTTCCAATCGATGGATGGAGGCATCCTCGCTGGTGTCCTCCATGACAGACTCTGGGATGTCTGGGGAAGGGAGACAACCCATTTTGTACTGGAGGTAAGAGAAGGTTCAACTCTGCTATGACCCAGGATAACTGTAGTTAGAAGTATATTCAGGGGGCTAACCTCCCCATCAAGACCAGGCTTTGTTTAGCTACCTCTTACCAAGACCTTTCCATTAAGTCAATGACAATCTCAAAAGATCCTCCGACTCCCACCCCAACACACATCAGAAATAGACACACACACACACACACACACACATACACTCGCACACCCACCAAACACCAGGATCCAAGAGGGTATCATCCAGGCAAGAACAGACCTCACTAAGGGACACTTGCTAGAACATCAAAGCATCTAGAAAGGGACTGTAGGGGAAACATCACTAGATTTTAAGTCAGAATCCTCAACTAGAATGCAAGCTTTTGACATTTTCTACTTGTATGATTGTAAGCAAAAAAATTAATATTTGGTTAGGCATAATTTCTATATCTGTAAAATAAAAATACTTTTTGCCTTATCTAATCCATGGAGTTATTGTGAGAAACACAAGAGTGTACGTGAAAGCCCTCTGTAAATATACAGTGTTATATAAAGGTGTTACATTATTTTACTTGCTGTGCTCCTATATGCCAATTGGGGCTCAACATTTTCTACCTGAGTTGTTCTACTTCTCCCTCCCTTTAAACTACAGATACAGTAGAGTAGGCAGATTGGGGTAGAAGGCTACCATCCATGTGATCCTTACATTAATGGCTTTATTGGGACCAGTTGTGGTTGTACAAAAGAATTACCTCACAGCAGTTGAAATCTGTTTAACGACAGTCCACGTTCACCAAAAATATTGATGAGAAACACTAGGTTTCATTATGAAATGGTGTTCCTGAAAGTATTAAGGTGACTGTAAGATTTTCTGGCACTCAACTTGTAACAAATTCCTCTTTACCTCCCATTATACACCATTCACTTATAAACATACACTGATTTCTGCATGCTTGGATAATTCCCCTTTCAACAAGTCAGTGAAGCAAAGGAACTGTCAAGGTGCAGGGTACCACCGGAATCCAGAATGTTTTGCCCAGCTCTAATTAACATGCACAGCTCTATAGAGAAATAACGCCAAACATACTGGACACATAATACGAACACAGACACAAGAGTTGCATTTTGAAAAATGCCATCAGGCAGAAGAGAAAAGGGAGAGCTGCATATTGGTGACATCTGTGTGCATGTGAGGAAATCTAAATAAGAAGGTAAACACATATGTGTTCTGGTCAGCAGTAGTCTGAACTAGAAAATATACTCCTATAATGTGAAAAAGACAACCTTGTCTGTCTTGCTGTTGCTGTACCCAGTGCCTAGCAAAATAAACGTTTGAGGAATGGATGAATGAATTTAAACTGATGGAGAATGGGAAGCCAAACATTTCTAGAGACAGCAAAGGAACAGACCAACAACCCAGGATAAAGCATCTGACAATAGTTAATTAGCTGCTGAGAACAAATAAGGCGTTAAGGGGCTGGATTCTGGAGAATGATAAATGACAAAGAAGCCACATAGGATAAAAAAAAAAATTAGAAAAACTAGATTTACTCATTCAACAATTTTTCATTGACTGCCTTCTGTGAGCCAGTTGCTGTTTTGGGGAATAGGAATAGAACAGAGAACAATACAGACAAAAATCCTCGGCTTCTAGTAGAGGAGATCACCTAGTAAAGATACCACTATGACGGAAAAAAGGAAGACACAGGATCCCTACTTGGGCTCGGCCTCTGCCTGGGAGGGGACTAATGCAGAAGCCTGAGTAAGGGTGCAGGGTGACCCCTGGACAGCATCCTTGCACCTCCGTGAGGCCGCGCCAGACAGCAGGATCTGACCAGATCAAGGAGAAAGGATGGGGAAGGCCTGAGCGGCGCAGCATCCCTAAGGCGAGAAAGGCAAGTTGGGTGACAGGGAAGAGACTTTGCAAACCCGGGCAGGAACCTGAGCGAAGGAGCGATATCCCCCGCCTGGAGCTGCCATGATTGGCGAAGGGCAGGTCAGGAAGGAAGAAGGGACACTCACCTCACCAAGCCCGACTCTCGGGACCTTCTGTCCCGGATTCTGGGGCGCCGGCACCACCACCCCTCACTCAGACCGCCTTAGAGATCCAGACATAAACCTTAAACGCGGCCATTATTGTCCCATAATACCTTGCGCGATCCCCTCTATCTGTCCAAAGATACCATCGAGTGCAGCCCGGAAAACGCCGGTTCCCCGCTCCGAGTGTGGGACAAAAAGCGACCAAGCACTCAAGGCTAGAGTGTCCTCCTCTGGGACTTGGCTCAGACACACTTCACTTCCGAGTCTCGTCGTGACCAATCACAGTTAGTCTGAAAGGCGGGAGGAAAGGGAGGGTGAGGGGAGGAGATCGGTCATTTTTAATAAGGGCGGAAGTGACTCTACGGCTTCCGGCCGAAACTGAGCCAAGTGGGCTTTGAATAGAATAACCACTTCTGCTTGTGGGACGATTGAGATCGACCGCAGGTTTACCTACTGCGCCTGTGCGTTTTCTTTTCCGTTTCCGTTTTCTTAAGCGGTCAGCCGAGAGTCGCTAAGCAGTAGCGGCTGGGTTACTGTCGGTTACCGCTGGCGTAGGAGTAGCTGGCGTCCCACCTTGTTTGGAGAAGGGGTCAGGGTTGCGGACAGTCCTGAAGTGGAAGAGAGGGAAGTGACTTGTACAAATAAAGTAAGTATCGTCTTCCGTAGCAGTTGTGGGCCAGGAGTAGCCCAACCACGGGCTTCGTTAAATATATGTATGTTTATTTATCTTGACTATTTTGGAAAAAGAAACGCTCTCTCCTGTCTGTTCACTCGCAGAGATAACCACTGATGGTATTTGGGGGTATTTTTTTCCAGTTTTTATATGCAAATGTATACATTTGTATTATAGTTAGGTTTTTGTACAGCAGTGGGATCACACTTTGTATACTGTTTTATAACTTTATCATGAGAACCTTTCAGTATCTGAAATACTCATTTGTAACACAGTATTTTGGCCGTGTTAATAATATGTTGCAGGACTGTCCTGTCGTTTGTTTTTCCAGTCCCCTGTTTTGGGCCATTTAGGTTGTTTCCAGTTTTTCACCACTAAGAATATGATAATATCTTTTCTACATAAATCTTTGTAGACGTGTCGAATTAATTCTCAGAAATGGAATTGTTGCTCAGATGGTTTTCTTCCTAGAAAAGTTTTGCTTCCCTGCATTCCAGCGGGGACAATGAAATGCGTGTCCGTTCACACTCTTGCATTATTGTTTCGCTTTACCAATTTAATGCCTTTGTCAAATAATCTTCTAATTTGCTTTTCTTTGTTTACTAGTAAAGCTTAACTTTCCAAAGGTACAAACTTTGTCAGTTTGTACCTCTTCTTTTGTGAAGTCTCTGTTGGTATTCTTTGCTATGAACATATTCTTAGGTGTGGCATCAGTTTTCCTCTCTTCCAACAATTATCCAGGCCCCTCGCCCCAGTGGACAGCTTTCCCCTCCCCTCACTTCCTCTTTATCAGTAACGTACTGAAGGTGCTATTTGAATTCCCTCTCCCACTCCCCCTGCTTGTGTTCCATCTCTTGCTATGTCTCTCTCTGTCAAATAAATAAAGTCTTCTAAAAAAATTTTTATTTTTTTTCTAACTTAATATAGCAGAAGGAACACTGCATTAGAAATTTGGTGGCTTGGATTCTAGTCCTTGTTGTAGCTAGAACCAAAACGGTAAGCAAACAAGTCTGTAAAATGAGGGGATTGGATTAGATCCCTTCTATCTCAGTATTTTATGACTTATTTTTTGTGTGTGGTTGTCACACACACCCTTAAGTGATCTGTTTGCCATGTGGTGAGGTGCATCTAGTAAGGTATGCACCAAGAATCTTTAAGCCAGGACTCGTGATAATACTCCATAAGTAAAAGCCTTTAAAAAGTATGGTACAGGGGCGCCTGGGTGGCTGAGTCGGTTGGGTGTCTGCCTTCGGCTCAGGTATCAAGTCCCTCATCAGGCTCCCTGCTCAGCAGGGGAGTCTGCTTCTCCCTCTCACTTTGCCCCTCCCCCTCGCTCATGCTCTGTCTCACTCTATCTCAAAGAAATAAATAAAATCTTTAAAAAAAATAAAATAAAACGTATGGTCCATGCATGAAATAGTATGTCGCTGTGACAGTGTGTGTTAGGGATATGGAAAGATCTTCGCATGTTAGGTAAAACACCGCAAGGTGCAGAAGAGTGGGTAAAATAGGTGTGCTGGACATCTGTCATTTGCCTCTCCAGCTCCACTCTTCCTCCTTCTCTAGACTGCTCTGGGACCAGGAGACTGGGCTGCCTTCTGCATCTCCCCTGCCGTCTGGTTCCAGTTTGAGTCAGCCAGTGGGCGCATTAGCAGATCAGAGGGAGGGAGAAGAGTGGCTGCATCCCTTCACTGCACGCTGACTCCTTATACAAGGGCCTTCTGCACCCCCACAGTCCCCACCACACACTTCTGCCAGCTGCTCCCTCCCATGGCTCCTTCAGGCCTAGGGATAGGAGCAGCACCCTGCTCTTACTAGCTGAAGTACAGCACTGCACCCTGTTGTCTTCATATAATCTCTTCAAATTTGAGAATGTCATCTTTTTCCTGCTGGCACAATGGCAGATAGAATAGGCTATCTTTGGGGCAAAAGAGGGAAAAAACATAGGAATGCATATTGTATTTTCCTGTAAATGCATAACAAAACTGGAAGATACATGAGAAGCTAATGAAAGTAGCTGCGTGGTGTGTGGGAAGAAATAGGCTAGTGCAAACGGGGCCAGTTGAGGGCAGACAGAGGGAGGGAGATTTTCACAGTGTACATTTCTATATTGTTTGTTTTTAAGCTGGTGGACTTGCCACCAGTTTGTGCCATATAGTGTTTTCCTTTTACTTTGATACTTTGTTGTATGAAACCATTTTTTCCTCTGGGAATAAAATGTATGTATATTACCTACTCCAAAAATTAAGTTGTTTTTTTTTTTAATTAGGAGGCATGCACTTATGCTGTCTTTAAATATTGCAACTATATTTCAGAACTGACAGTGAGGATTACTGTTTGGATTATTTCAAGATGAGCTTCCTATTGCCCAAGCTAACTAGCAAAAAAGAAGTAGACCAAGCAATAAAAAGTACTGCAGAGAAGGTGTTGGTCCTCCGGTTTGGGAGAGATGAGGATCCTGTCTGTCTGCAGCTAGATGATATAGTAAGTGAATTTTTTTAAATAAATGGTTTTTATTAAAAATCTGTATATTCTCTCTTCAATATCTACAGAGTGCTTGGAAGGGAGCGGTCAGGCCCAGAGACACAGGTTTTCATTTGTTGGCACACTTTCACCAGGAGCTGGTCGTGTGCCTGCCCTGAGCTGGGCCCCCAAGTCTCTGATTGTGCTGAATCTGTCCTAGATGTCCTTGCCCACCAGCAGCCATCCAAGTTCAGTTTCACCAGCAAAGCCATGGAGGACCAGAAACACTACTAACAAGAATCTGTGAACATTATTTTACTTGGTGCTCACAACAGTGGGACAATTACTATTCCCATGGGGGGAGATGAATGCCAGCCAGGGAGGTCGGGTGACTGCCCACAGGACAAAACCACTAACCTGCAGAGCTGGGGTTTGAACTTCATTTTCTCTGCCTGCAGATAAGCTTTTCTAGTGTGTTGCCTCCAGTGTGTGCCTGATGATAATCTCTGATTTCATAACACACCTTCATACTCTGATGAGTAGGGAGGGGAGTATGAGACAGAATGGGTTTATTTCTGTCTCTTTTTATTATGGAGAGAGACATACCCCAGAACTGAGACCTCTTCCCAGCATCTCTATTGCTGCTACCCACAATGTGGATCCTGTATAAGAATCTTTATTACTGTGATTAAAAATGAGCGTGTGATATGTTAACCTGAGGGGGGAAAGGGCCAGAGGATTATACCCTCAGCCGTAGAGGAGAGGGAATATCATGCAGCCAGGCTGCCCGAGTTCAATTCCCAGCTGTATTGTTTACTAGCTGTGTGACTGGAGGCAGATTACCTCAGTTTCTTCATCTAAGAAATGGGGACTATAATAACCTCATAGGAATGTTGTAAGGAGTAAATGAGTTAACAAGTGTGAAGCGCTAAGGACACTTAGCACATAATAACTGCCATGCAAGTTTTCACTATTTTTATTATAATTATCATTCATGGGGGAATTGGAAGGAAAGGGATTTGGGGGAATTTCAGTGCACAGTACATACTTCTGAGTTGTTTTTGTTTAAGTGAACATGGATTTTATATATCCACAAAAAGTTTATAAAAACTTTACTACCAAAACCAGATTTTTTTTTTAAATGTATTTTTTAAAAATGTATTCACACAGTTTTCCCAGGGCCCTCTCACAAGTCTACCAACGGAGACTCAGACTCTGAATGATAAGGTTATACTGTGTCTAATGTGGAACTCAGGAGAGATTCTCGCCCCAGGAATATCTTTCAAACAGAATATCCCAGTAAAAAGTTTCACAGAAGAAACCTTAGCTGCCTCTCATATTGTGACCTACCTGTCATTCTCTATTTGCAGCTTTCTAAGACCTATTCTGGCCTGAGTAAAATGGCTGCCATATATCTGGTAGATGTGGACCAAACTCCCGTTTACACGCACTATTTTGACATCAGTTATATTCCATCTACTGTGTTTTTCTTCAATGGGCAGCATATGAAAGTGGATTACGGGTAAGTTCGATTGACTTGACGTTACTATGGCAGTGGGAGTTTGTTTTCCCCGAGTAATTGCGGTAAGTCGCCTACCTGCCTGTGCCGGTGGCCTTGTGAGCCTAATGTTGCTGCTCTTTGCCCAGCTGATGCTCTCATTTGTTATGTGAAACTTGGGTGCAAAAAAGAGAGGGTTTCCAGCGCAATTGGCAGATTTTAACCTCCTACTGAAGTAGGAAAGATTTGTACAATTTGGGAAGTACTGACCATCCTTCAGTGTAGAAAATACAGAACAGCTTTTTTAAAAGTTTCCCAGGAATTTCATTTAAAACAAAATATGTCAGTGTACTTAAACTTCTGGGACTGGTTGGCTGCTTTTGAAAAGAAGTGTTCCAGCAAACTAAGACATGCTTCTCTCTGGCCAACTGTCCTCTCTTCTGCCACTCAGAAGGTTTTTTGTTTGTTTGTTTTTTTAATTTTTTTTATTATGTTAATCATCATACATTACATCATTAGTTTTTGATGTAGTGTTCCATGATTCATTGTTTGTGCATAACACCCAGTGCTCCACGCAGAATGTGCCCTCTTTAATACCCACCCCCCACCCCCCTCCCCTCTGGAACCCTCAGTTTGTTTTTCAGAGTCCATCGTCTCTCATGGTTCGTCTCCCCCTCCGACTTATGCCCCTTCATTCTTCCCCTCCTGCTATCTTCTTCTTTTTCTTTTTTCTTAACATATAACTCAGAAGATTTTGAAGACATTCTTCAACCAACTCTGTCAAGAATAAGCACTGTGAAATCTTTAACACCCTCCACGGCATCCAATCAGCATCCTAATACTTAACATGTATTTTTGGTGTGCCCGTAGTTCTTATCATTTCTTGCTCTGGGTGAGGTGTCTGCTTGTCTAGATCTTTGTACCTGTTCTGTCATTATCTTTCTGAAAGTGCGTTAAATATTACCTGTTTTAAGTATTTTAAAGCTATTTATTCACCTAGGATACAGTTGATGTAAGTATTATTTTGGTGCAGTCTTTTTCAAGGGTGATTTATGACACTATTTACCATTTTAAAAGTCTGTAAAATTTCGGGGGCACCTGGGTGGCTCAGTCAGTTGAGCATCCAGCTCTTGATTTCGGCCCAGTTGCTGCTCTCGGCATCGTGGGATTGAGCCCTGTGTCAGGCTCCAGGCTCAGCACAGAGTCTGCTTGAGACCCTTTCCCTCCCACCTCCTCCCCATCCACCCCCGCCGCTGTGCACTCTCTCTCTCTCAAAAGAAAAAAAAGTAAAATTTTTAACCCAGCAATTGCATTTCCAGGAATTTCTCTGAAGGAAAAATAATCGTGAAAGTGGGCAAAATTGGCTGCCTGAATATTCATCCCACCATTATTTAGAAAGCAAAATACATAGAAAGAACGATGTCCAGAGAGGGATACTAGATATCAATTTCATGTAACGTTGTCGATGCAAGTTTAATGACTTTGAAAGAAACAGGTTATATGTGGGTTGGAAAAGCACATTACAAAATAGTTTGCATGATATAATTGCCATGATTTTGAAAAAAATGCGTCTGCATGTACACACGCGTGCGCGCAGATTGGAAGGACATGTGCTGACATGCAGCCTCTGGCCTCACTGGTAATTTTTTTTTTTTTCTAAAAAGTTTCTACAATTAACATACTTGAAGTTTGAAATAGTAAAAAAAATAAAAAAGATTTCATACCCACCACTCAAAAGTATAAGTGAGGGGAACTCAGAGACGATGACCAGTCGTCTTTACACAGTGTAGCCGACAGCAGCAGCCCCAGACTATGCCCATGCCAGCGTCCAGGCAATTCTGGATACAGAGCTAAGAAGTGATGAAAATAGATTTTGAAGCGGAGGCTCTTCGCATGATAGGGCTCACATGCCACCCCAGTGGCCGACGGCACTGGCTTTAGTCCTGTATCAGATGGGCCCGGTAATTGCAACCAGAGAAATCAATGTCAGGCTTCATGTCTTAAGTCTCCCCGACGAGAAGAAAGTTACAGAGCTGCGATTCATTTTGTTGTTCCTGAAGGTCTGCAGCGAGTAATCGCCCAAAGTTCTGAGCAAGGTTGTTTTTCTTCTGTGCCCTCTAGGTCTCCAGATCACACTAAGTTTGTGGGAAGTTTCAAAACTAAGCAGGACTTCATAGATCTGATTGAAGTAATTTATCGAGGAGCGATGAGGGGAAAACTTATTGTCCAAAGTCCTATTGATCCCAAGAATATTCCCAAATATGACCTCCTCTATCAAGACATTTAGCACATTTACTACTGAAAGTTGAAGACAAAGGCGCATCTTGAAGCAGTACCTGAATCCAGCTGTGCTGTCTTCCTGGAGTCCTTCAGAAAGGTGTTCAGCGTCCCAGCAGAGAAGAGGTCTGACTTGGACAGAAAATACCCCGCCCCCAAGTAGAAGGCCACGCTGGTACCATGATTAGCAGGGATGGGTGCTGAAATGTCTACTCCCTGCAAACCTCAAAGCAGTCAAGACAACCGTGGTCCATTTTCCCAGTGTGATGTTGTAAATCTATATTGTGCTTCTCCTTATTCCTTAAGATGATACAGAATCCTTCTAAACGTTGCCTAGTACAGTTTAACTATGTATACTTGATACACAAGTAAAATAGAAAATCTGTTCCCACAAGAACAGAAATACTTCTTTTGTACCCTAGATGTACACACACACACACACACACGCACGCACGCGCTCCCCGTCGCCCATTCCTCCGCGCAGACATTTATCACGTGCTCTCCCATCCCCAGTCCCGTTATCCCTGTTTCTCTTAGGTAAATGATTCTCTACTGAGAGTGGGCAAATTTTTATTTTGGAAACTTTCTGGCTTAGACTTTTAAAACAGTATCTCAGGGGGCGCCTGGGTGGCTCAGTCGTTAAGCGTCTGCCTTCGGCTCAGGTCATGATCCCAGGGTCCTGGGATCGAGCCCCGCATCGGGCTTCCTGCTCGGCGGGAAGCCTGCTTCTCCCTCTCCCACTCCCTCTGCTTGTGTTCCTGCTCTATCTCTCTATCTCTGTCAAATAAATAAAATCTTAAAAAAAAATAAAACAGTATCTCGGTTTGCTCATTTTACTAGTTTTTATGTTATGAAATAGCCCAAGAAATGAGACCTTGAACCTTTACCATCCAGCACCCAATTTGAGCTAAACAAAAAATTAACTACCTGTAGTCAGTAGGAGCAGGTTTCTCCCAGAAGTCAGAGTTCTGCCTCTCTCTGAGGCAGAGAATTTCACTCCAAGCACTCAGGACTGGAAAGAGTTGTCAGAATTATTAGAAAGAAATAACGTCTTTATGGTATTTGCCTGTTTTAATAACCTTATGAAGAATTCTCGATCTTGCGGCATCCCCGGCATAACCTGCCTCCACTTGGGCAAGTCACTGCTTCTCTCAAAACCTCTGGATCCTGACTTTCCAGAACAAGGAGGAGATACAGAGCCGGAGGGCCGCGGGCCGGGCAGCATCGACCTGCTTGACAGCTCGTGGCCAGCAGAAGTCCAGTTCTGTGCAGGCCAGCACTGTCGCTGCAAGTGTGTCGCCCCTTTACCAGCCGCGTCCTTCCCGAGCCTCATCTGCAGGAAGAGGTCACCACTGACAGGCACAGGAGGAAGGCTGCCGGGGGCTTTTGTGTCCTTAGCTGATGAAAGGAGAGAGCCGCCATCGCCTCTGCGTTCTCTCCCCGTCTTCCTGCTCTGGTTATCCTGATCCATGGGACGGCAGCAGCCATCCTAGGACCACAGGACCAGCACTGGGATGAAAAGTGAACGTGCGGAGAAGAACAATAAAAAGACCCTGGGTCCCTGATGATGTTTTGAGCCTCTGCATGAGCTCTAGACCTGCCTCCCTCCGGACCCCTGTGAAAGAACAAAACCTCTTCCTTGCCTCTCACTGTTCGTTGGACTTTCTGTCAGAGCCTGAGTCACACAGTGTTGACGTGGGGTGAGTGCGCAGATACCAGCAAAAACTCAGAACTTGCATTCATAAGATTCTCCTGTCTCCTCTCCTCCCGAGGTCTTCAGGGAATGTTTCTCTGAAGTCCCGATTTGTGTTCTTGTTCTTACCTTAGTTGCTTTCCGTTCCGCAAGTCTCGATGAGTTCATACTAGATGCCCTGCCCTGTGCCCGATGCTCCATAAATACAGATGACTCCCGAGCGGGAAGAGGCTTCTCACAGGAGACAAGGCCTGCACCTCCAGCGGGGGGCAGGAGGTGCTTGTGTGGAAGGCGGGAGGCATTTCCCGGGAGAGGGCGCCGGGAGGAAGAAGGCCCGATGCTGGAGGCAGCAGAACGGGTGCAGAGAGCTACGTGAGTTCAGGGTCACTGAAACCCGAGGGCTAGCCCAGGAGGGCAGGAGGTGCTGCTGGGGAGGAAGCCAGAGAAGATAAGTGGATTGAGAAAATGCCAAAGGCTTCTCTTTACTATTTTCCTCCTGAACAGTGGCCAGAAGCCACTTAATGCAAGCAGATAATTCTTCAAGAAAAGAGTGGTTTTTTTCTTCAAGAAAACCTAGTGCTGAAGACAGTACCAGAAGAAAAAGGCATTAACTGTATTCTGAGAGGCATTCTGTTTATGTGTGTGTAGCAGATTTCCGTTTCTGGCCCTTCTCTCTTTCACAGGTTTTAGAATAGAGGTGTAAGATCTCCACTGGTCCACTAGCTCTAAGGGATTGAAAAGTATTGATGGATCTGGAGCATGTGTTTGAGGACAGCTCCACAGTGCAGGGCAGGCCCTGGTGTGAGAACACTGACATCAGGGGGCATTTTACACCAGTGAGAAGGAGAGGCCCTATCTTCATGTGACAAGAGGTGTCTTGATGAAAGGTCAGTGTACTGAAGGCTTAACTAGCCAGAAACAGTGGAAGAAGTTAGAAGAGCCTCCTGCTTACAAGGGTTTTGAAACTATTCTTCTGGGAGACCCTTAATAGCAAGAGCCTATCTTTGTGAAAGGGAAGACTCAGGTGGCTTGCATTTGGCTCCTGGTAAAGGATAGGTTTCTTCCATCTGGGGAAAGCCTACCGTATTGAGGAAGAGACCTGTAACTCTTTACCGAGTTCCAGAATGTTGGGAGGGACGTTAGAGATGATGCGGTTCGAGCCGCTCGGGAAGGAAAGCGGGGACTGAAGGCTTTTGGCAGACAGACGGCCGCGCTGCGATCTGGACCCAGCAAGTCCTAACTGCTGCCTTTCCCCCATCTTTGTTTTCTGAAGTGCCGCTGTGTGGGAGCACAAATACTAAGATTCTGCCTGGGGCAGAACCGCCGTCTTCGTCCCACATTGAGCTGGCCTCTTCCTCATCAGCCCACACGCTCCCCTCACGCACTGCCCAGAAGCAGGAGGGTGCGGGGCAGAGAGCCGAGGTTCCTGTTCAGACTGGCCTGGGTGTGCGGTGAATTCAGCCGCACTGCTTACCCGCTGTGTAGCCTTAAGCAAATCACTTGCCTTCTCCAAGTCTGTTTCCTTGTCTCTGAAACAAGGGTAACCGTGACCTTTCTGAGGGTCTTTCACTGAGGGTCACCCCAGCACGGGACAGTTCTGTGTCACCTTAGGGGTTTCTAGTTGGCCTGGGCTGGTTCCTGCCACACTCCCGGTATATACCACTGTACCACTTAGCTGTTGCTGTACCATAAATGAGAGAATAAAAATAGCACAGAAATGACTCAAAAGAAAGCTCTTTATTGGCTCAGCACCACTTCACACTGTGTTTTCTCCCCTCCACTCCCATCCTCTTTCCCCTCTTCCAGAGTGAGTTCTGGCCCTCGGGCGAGGGCTGCCGGCTGGCCGGCATTAGTTGCCCGCCATAGTTTCCTGAACCCAGGCCAGAACGGAGGGCACCTTCACGTAGACGCCATACTCGGCCACAGTACAGCTCTTGTCAAAGCTCAGGATTCCGGCCGCGTACCACGTGTCCTCGTCCTGGTCATGAACAGCAAAGGCGCTGCCAGCATCACCGTAGCAGGTGTCTTCCTGAAACTTGGACAAGCCAGCGCAGAAGGTGTGCTCGTTCAGTATGGGCTGCACCCCCACAGGGCTCTTGGGTGACTTCTTTTCGGGCACTGTGCTGCCTTCATAGTGCTGTACACAGTTGTCTTGATCAGCCACCGGCAGCATGACATACTTGAGTAGCTCAGTATAATTAAAGTTGGAATTCCGCCCCCAGCCAGACACATAGCCCATACGCCCCACTTCTGCATAATCTTTGGAAGGTAGACAGATGGGCATTACCCTCTCATCAATGGGCACCTTCTGCTTGAGTTTGATGAGCCCGATATCAACATTGGAGTAGTTAGGGTGGAGAACCACCTTTTCAATCTCCACAAGCTGATTTTTCCCCACATAGAGTGTTAAAGTAGGGGCAATGTCCTTTGCTTTCGCACCATCTGTGTGGCCCAGGAAGAGATTTTTAGCTGTGGTCAACAGCCATTTTTCGTTGATCAGGGTGGCCCCTGAGGTGAGATTATGGTGGGAGACCATCTTGGCCTGCCAGGGAAAGCTGCCTTTGGCGTCCACTGATCCACCCATGATGCGCTGCACCTGATCCACCGGGTTCTTGGGCTTCCCACATACTGTCAAGGAGAGCAAGAAAGTCATGAGCAGGAATGTGAGTCTCCCGGTGTGGGAAAGAGGGGGACAGCGGTGGTGGTTGCTGCTGTCTAAACTGTCGTGTTAATTTCTGCACAGCTAGAAATATTGACATGCCTTGCCTTTACCACCTGCTCCTCTCATTTCCATTGTTTATGGTTTAAAATGGTTCTTTTTTATAAAGTTGTGTACATCACTAAGACACAGTTCTAGTTCCTGCTTTTCTAACACACACACACACACACACACACACACACACAAAGTATTGCTGAGATTTTCAAACCCTGGCTAATGAACTGTATGTATATTTAAATCATTTATCACAAAAAGCCACATCCACAACTCCCTGAAATTAATTTGAGGATGAGAAGCTATAATAATTCGTCCTCTGAATAGAGAGTGATCTGTTGCAGCATTGGCCAGAACTCAGATATTAGATATTGCAGTTAATACAAGGCAGGTTAGTAGTTCTGCACTGCTATTAGCAGAAGAGGGCAGGCAAAATCCTCTGGTCCCAGGAGGGGCACAGAAAGAGCAACATCTCATCCTAATAACAAGAAACAGAAGTCCTAACCCCTCTCCAGCCTGCGTCCCACTTCCGTGGATTTGGTTTTGTTCTCCTTCCTGGAGCTTGCTTTACACTTGATCCTGGGCTCCCTGGACAGCCTGTGTG